TCCCCATGAAACTGTATTCCTGCCGCTTACTGCACTCTTAATTATCTTGCTGAATACACTGTGTAGTTCTCAGATCACTGAGTAATGTTAATAAATTACTCTTAGGAAATAGATATGAGTTTTCTCCCCATTGGAGGGTGCTCAGGAACAAAGGGCTAGAGTTAAATACAGGACCAGAGCCCAGGCATTCTCAGGCCTCACCATTATGCTAAAGACATTGAGTCATCCTAGAAGCTCATAACAGCGACACGAGTGGTAATGACTCCCCATCCTTCAAGCTTTTTGTTTCACATAAAGAAGTCCAATAACTGCTGTTCAATGAGTTTATTCTGGAACTCTACAAGAGTATCAATAGCACAAACCATAATGTAGGCATATATTAAGAAAACTGCAACAGAGCACAGGATGCTTGGTGTCCTGGAAATCCTCTTTAGGAGCCCCAGTATGTCTATAAAGGCTTCCTACAGCTCTGGGTATGGTCTAGTCAGCAGAGTATCCCATTTCAGCTTCCATTCATCATGACACCAGAATGCCAAAAGCATGGAGTCAGGAAACAGGCATTTGCAAAATCCTTCCTTCACTTTCTCTTTATTTTTGTTATATAAGTTCTACATTTCCTGGAATGGAGGCTCTGAACTGCTGAACTCAGTCTCAAATCAGCCCAGCCAACAAGCTCATTTATATTAATAGGAAATCAACTGTTCCTTTTTGCTGGATTCCCAGTGGAGCAGCGGGTGGTCTGCTTTTTCCATGCAGCCATCCTTTTCCATACTGAAATGCCTCAAAAAGGTTTGTTTGCTAGGAGATGTTAGTGGAACCCAATATTGCTGATGTGAAAAACAAATAGAGAAAACCACAGATTCTTCTGGTCAATTAGACCTTCAGAAAGTGTTCGATCTTTTGTATACAGTTAGATAGCACTTAATAGCTGTCTTCCAACGGCCTCATGGCTTTTAATGACTAGTCATTGAAAGAACACCCAAACAGAGCAACCCAGAGTTAAAGTTGTGGTCACATTATCTGTCAGGAGCTTGTGCGTTAGAGTTTGGATGTAGTTGCTATAAGAACTCACCTTACCTGGCCCAGCTGGTCAGCACTGGTTGTCTGGGGAAGATGTGTAAGAAAAGCTGTATGGGACAACTTACTGGCTACTCTATTCATGGAGGAGAATGAACAACTGTTTTCTTTATATCATTAGGCAGAGGGTTTCTGTATCTTCTATTCTTTGTCTTGTACTGTGATTTTCTTTCCCATTTAGTTGCCATTTAAAGTGTTTAAACTCCCTGGAGCTCCTGGGACATCCAGACTTTGCCATAAGCGGCGTGGGCCCAGCTGGTTGGACGCTGGGGAGCCACTGTCACTGTGACGATGGAATGGGGCCCTGAGCTTGGATCCTCACAGCAGGCAGATTGCACGTTTACATAATGATGCAACTGAGTGACCTGCCCACAGCAGCAGTGACATGTCTTTCCCAGCCCCTCGTTATCATTGTACGGGATTGGACCTTAGCCATGAAGTTAGAGGAGAGGTCATCCTCCCACGCTTTAACTAAGCCAAGAGAGACACTCTTGGGATTTGTTTCCTGCCTAATACTGCCTGAGGTGCTGTGCTGTGGGTTGGGGGGCCCAGTGGTAAACCCCATGGTCTGTTTTCGCCCTTGGCATGGCTGCTCTTACCTTCCTCTATGGCTCAGCTAGATGCCTGGTGTCACCCTCATCGTGTTGGCTGTGCTGGGGTCAAGAGCAATGAACGGTGGCAGCTTCTGCACAGCCACACAAGCACTATGTCTTACCACATGCTCAGAAGGTAAGCACGTGCTCGTGTAGAGTTGCAGGTGTTTGATAAGCTCTGTCTCAGACTCCTGCACTTTTGGGACTTGATTTTTTAAGGGATTTTTGGTTTTGCCGGCCTCCCATGATTCAGAAAATAATGTCTGCCTGTAAAGAGGAATAAAACTGGACCATGAACATCCATGGGAGTTAATGATTGTTAAATGGTTTACATTTACATTTTTCATGGCTGCATCAGTCTTATTCTCACTGTCCCCTTGTGTTCGCCTCTCCACCGTCCAGGAGAGTGCTAGAAGCTTCATCCCTGTGGAGTTCAAGTACCATCAAGATGTGTAAACAGTGCATTACATTATGTATTTTTTATGTTCAGCACATAGACCAATTCATTTCAATGTCAATTATTGCTAACCACATGTCTGCCAACATTATAAAAACAGCGCTGGGTACAGCACAACATAAACCTACCTTCAGATTAGAGATGTGGGATCCTTGCTTAATTATATAGGGATTAAACTGAATGATGCAGTGTTGCACAGATTTGCTCTTATTTTCCAAAGCTAAGGTTAATGCGCAGTGCTTGTGTTTCTAATCAGAAACCACAAAGTTTAGCTGCTGTGACACATTAGTCTCAGCCTCTGCCTAGATGGTTGCAGATGATACTCTGGGGCAAAGTTAGCTCTAAATGCTCTTGCTTGCTGAATAGCGATGTTGCATCTCTTAGTAGCTCAAGTTTCCTAACAGAAAGTAGGAATGAAGATGATAAGTAAGTAGAAACAGCATGGAAGAATCCAATCCCTATTTTATAAGCACAGATTTTCATGCGAAAACCCTTTGTAAACAATTTAAATTATTACTTACTCTTCCAAAATGATTAAATTATATTGAAAAGCTGTTCAGCTATGTTGAAATGCCTAAACAGCCTCCTTGGGTTTGGTGCCACGATATGCTGTTACATGGGAGCAGAAAAGTCCCTGGAGAAGGCAGTAGCATCTTCAGAAGCAAGGGACATGCTGCACCATCTGTACTTTCAAGCCCAACTTCCAGCACTGCACACCAAGTTCAACTCTGGAAAAACACCATTGGGTTTATTAAAAAGAGAATGAAAAGTAACCCAATAAAGTGCCTGTGGCCTAACAAAGTACGGCATTCACTTGCCGGGTCATTGCCTAGTAGGTATTTAACATCTGTGTCTGACTGTACGAAGTAAAGCCCTACACAGTGCAGTGTGATCAGGCCATGCAGACGCAGCAAGGAGTGCCCAGGCACAGTTGAGTGCTGCCTGTGCCTGGTGTGGTGTGTCCCTGCAGCCCCGCGGCTCTTCTTGGGTCCCTCTGCCCAACAGGGAGATGGGGAAGAGCTGGACAAGCCCCAGCACTGTTGGGGCTCTTTTGCCCTGACCTAGGATGTGCACTCCCTTGCCAGATGGTTTTGTTTGATTAACATTTGGGATTATTGGCTGTTGTGTTGCTCGGTGCAAGGCGGACATTGACTTGCTCAGGGTGCTTGGAAAACAGATACAGTGGTTTTGTAGGTGATCTAGAGGATGGTGTGAAACAAAGGAAAACAAAAAGGTGCGTAGCTTAGCCTACATAAGAAGAATCACAGGAAAACCCATACAGGTGGAAAGGAAGCAATGGTGAGGTTATTGCTGATGGAGCCAGAGAGGAAAGATCAGTAACTTCTGATGCCTGAAGTAATGCTGAGGCTAGTGCTGAGCAGGCAACGAGCTGCCACTGGTGATGTGGGCTGGGGGGATCCTGATTTCCACATGGTGTTTCTGCCTTGTGGTTTACTTTAACCAGCTTGTTAGGGTCTAGGCAAGGCAAAGAAAAGTTTCTGTAGTGTATGTTAAATAGGACATAAATAATTCATATCTATAGATTTGGCACACAATAATGAACCACAAGGCCTCAGGAGATAGGCATTATTTTAATTGATTTGATAAAGTAAATCAGAGAGAAAATCTCCTAGGACAGTATAATTACAGATCCCAGATTATAACTCAGGAGCTTGCATGCTCAGGCTGGCAGGCAAATAACAAGAAAAGTCATTAGCAGAAAGTGGAAGCGGAAGACATATGGTATAGGAATTCCTCCACTTTCTAGTTCTTCATTTGTAAACTTCTCTTCAAGTTCAGTGCTTTCACCTTATCAGATGTCATTGTCACTGCTGTGAACACTCTAATGATCATTTAGATTTTTCTTAAAAAGCTCTCACTAAAGGGAAAATGAACACAAGTAAATGCAGAAACATCCTGTTAAAATGTCAAGGACTTCTGTGAGATTTGTCCACTTGTGCCTTTAAGTGTTCCGTTTCCATCTGCAAGTGTGGTGGCTCTATAAAATCAGATGTAGGGCTGTGTGCACTTGGCCTTTTTCGTGTGATTTGAATGTGCAGGAACCTGTAAGTGTCTGTGGAGTGCAGAACTACATAAACAAGTGGTTGGTCTGGGAAGAAGCTTGTGCTTATTTGTTCTCTTTTTCATTTTTGAATGGCCATAAACTAACATCTCCATAAATCGGGGGGTTCAGATTAGGGCTTTGAAGACTCCTACAGAGCTATATTCCAGGATACAAAGATGTTGATGTAATCAACTCAAAGAAAATGTTCCTGAGCAGTTTAAATACCTTTGCTCTGATGACTTGCATAATTTAACCAACCCACTGCTTGATCTAAAGGAGAAGAAAACCACAGTGTCTCTAGCAGAAAGCCCAAGGTTTTGCCTCAAGTAGCAGCAAAAGCAGCCTGTTTGTCTAGTTTTCACACCCAAAGCTCTTTGTCTCCAAACCTTGGCTGTTCTCCCATCTGCATGTGGCTCTGCATCTGCACAATCACAAGACCAAGACGCTACCTGGAGGAGCTGTGTCTGTGACAGGGATCTCCCTGGGCACCACATCTCTGGTCCATGCACAGAGAAGCTGGGAGATGTCCTGGTCCCTGAGCCCAGCTGTAGCCATAGGAGATGCAGGTAGATTTTGTCCATGTAGGGTGAGGGCTGAAGCCCACAGGTTTATGCACGGAATCCATCAAACAAAACAGGAGGTGTCAAGCTCGGCACTGCTTTCCTGAATCATGCTCTTATCCGTGAGCAAATAACATATGTCTAAACCTGCTGTCGGCTGCAGTGAGCTGAAGCAGAAACTCAGTGCCAGCTGATGGTAGTTGTGGTTTTGGCCAGTATATATGACCATGAAACAGAGCAAATAAAGGTTTTGGTTTTATCCATACCTTTTTATTTATTTCTGTAGTCTGTAGTAAGGGACCATTGCTTTAAAATCCTTAGACATTTGGACATATTTTACAAGACAGTACAGTTTCTGAATGTCACACATTGATCACAGTTTCATACTACTACATGCATATCAAGACACTGATTTTTATTAGTTTTTGTAATAATTTGTTTACGGAAACAACTGGAGAGGTCAAGAAACTTCAACAAAGAATGACTAAATCAAAGGTACAAAAAATGTTAGACTCTAAGTACACCAGTATATGGCTAATGTTGCTGCAATCGCCCCAGAGTGCCAGGGTATTGAAACATTGCTTAAAAGGGGAGAAAACATCTGCTGACGCATTGCCCCTTGGATTGATCCAATATAACCCAACGAAGAGATTGTGCAAGTCGTGCAGGAGTGGCTGGGCTGTTGGGCAGAGGCACGAAGCACTGCCCTTCATTACAGACACACGGAACTGGATTCCCCATTGCTTCCCCATTGCACAGGTTAAAAACTAACTGAAGTGCAAGGCAATGGAGAAACCTGTCGTGTTCTGCCTTTTCTCAAGCTGGGTCACAGTCAGTTTCAATTTCCAGAGACAGAAGCAATTCGATCAACATGTACTAGCAGAGCCACAGGAAACTTACATTTTCCCAGGTTTTATCTGTTGTTAAATATCACATTTTTATTTTAAAGGGAGCCCTGCAGCTTTCTTATCTTTCAGTGACTATGGATGCTCACTGCTGCCCTTTGGAGATGACACTGGGAAGCCCTTGCCCAGGGCTCATGGGCTGCTCTTCAGGCCCAGCAGCTGTCCTGTGCTTTTGGAGAAGGAAGACCTGAGCTGTTCCCCAGCCCTGTGAAGCACTGAGCAGCCACAATGTGCAGCACAGCCAAACACCACCTGGCATCCTTCTGTAGGCATGGAGTTGTTATTAAACAGCACTTGCAACAGTGCCTCATTAAGTGTTTTCTCCCCATTCAGGAACTGCTTCACGCCTGATTTAGAAAGCAGGATTCTGCTGCAGTAAGTTGGGGTGTATTTTTTCATGCTAATCTAGTTGGAAAGTGAGTTTGGTTGGTAGCTGTGGCTGGCCTTTCTGATTGCAGAGTCATGGCTTCAGAGTTCAAGGGAACATGGAAATGCTGCTCTCCCCAAACCCTCCCAGCCAAACCCACCAGTGGGGAATGTTTCAATGCAAAAGCAATCTTCTGCACCCACAGCCAAAAAGCCAGAAAGAATGGGGAAACAAAGGTTCTCCATCTTTGCCACAAGCCGACAAAACAAATCCCAGTGGTCGTGTGAGCCAGTGAGTGGCTAATAGTACTTTGATGCAGTGACATGTAACAGATAGAAGAGGCATAAAGGGCAGAGCTGCTAAATGAAATACAGAGAGTAGAGAAGAACTGATGAATCCTAAAATGGTCTTAAATGAAGATTACCAATAGGTCCAGAGGTTGCCTCACAATTAAAGGTAACCGATGGCGCCTCTGCCAGTAGTGTCCTCCCAGCAGCTGAGGGCTGGACTGAAGGCTGAGAGTGAACCATGTGGCTGAGCTTGTTGGGACTGCTGTAGGGACAGTCATCTGTGAGTTTGGGATGCCACTTGTGGCATCAAGCCCATGAAGAGTGAGCTGACATGGAGGGATGCTCAGTCAAGATTGGGATAGCATGATGATCATCCTCTTGCCTAAAGGATTCTTTCCTTTCCCAGGCTTTCACTGACCTGTCTCTGTTTCCAGTTCCCTCACCCTACTGGTTTCCTTGTAGGTGCTGTGGACAGACACCTCCAGCCCTGAGGTCATAGAGAGCTTTTAGTTTTCTCTTAGCTTTTAGAGATACGGAGCCAAATTCATTAGTGGGTTAAATGGGGCACAGCTCCATTGACCTCAGTGGGCTTTTACTTATAGCAGCAAAGAATTTGGCATTTTGTGCAAATTTGGCTCCCTGGTTTCCACCAGGCTCTAGTTTGGGAGGGTCTTTGTACTGAGCCCAGCCAGATTATTAGTTTTTGAGGGTAGTGTCACTACAGTCTTGAAAAGACCCCTTTAAAACTGTCAAAGGTTAATCGTTGTTCAGTCCTACAGAATACCAATAGTATTATTTCTAGTTAAAAAGAAAAATGAAGCTTTCTCTTCTAAGCCTCTAGACTGAAAACTTCTTGTGCGATGAAGCCAGAATCAAGCAAAGCAAAATTCTGAGTAGTATTTACAGATATGAACACTTGTGGCACCCTACCATTGGTGTCAAAGGACACTTATTTGTGGCTTAGGTAACACCAGCAACAAAGGGGATCACGTCCTGAATGCAGACTTTCAGTTTTTCCTAAGGTTTCCTTTGTCCGGCCAAGGCAAAGTGTCAGTGCAAGAGCCTGAATCTCATCAGCATGGGGTGCGAAACACATGCTGGAAAATAACCATGTCTTCTTAGAAGGTTGGTATTTGGGTTGTTTCTGTTGTGCTGTGGGAGGGCTACCTGCGGGGGCGAATTTAAGACTGGTCTGACTAGAAGCTTTCTGTGGTTTTGTTGACTAAGCTCAAACATGCTTACTGATATGGAAAATGCCTTTTGAAGGGATTTATGTGACCGTTGATGGTAGGTATGGTGGGCTACTGCGTTAACTGCCTTTAGAGAAAGAAAAAGCCCAGCCAGCTTTAATACCTCCATGTGTGAATGGGTCTTGCTGATACATAATCAAATGCAAAACTTTGTCTGCTGGTTGTTCTGTTCATTCAGGTGGCATCTGTGCCTTCTGAAGCACGTTTTCCCAAATTAATTCGGTTTTGGGTTTATTGGCTGGCGTGTCGTGCATGTAAGAAAATCACAGAAACAAACAAAAGGAGATAGGACCAAAACTCCATCTTTGGAAAAAAACCCATGGTCAATGACCAGATTGTTAAGTGGATTCAAAAGGAAATGTTTGTGCAGAGCTGGTCTGAAGCTCTTTGTCATGCTGAACTTCAACAGGCCATGAGATAGCTTCAGGAGGAGTATTTATCTCATGGGCTTTTTATTCAATGTATGTGATGGTACATCTATAAAGGAGCAAGAAAGATTGTTCAGTAAGCAGATACATGGACAGACTTTACCATAACCAAATCCAAATCCAGTCCCTTTCTCAACGCTTACATCCAGGTTTTTCATTCCCCCATAATTTTGTTTTCTCGTTTCCTGATGTTGTCTGGGACTGAAAATAGAAATTCCAAAGCCCAGTGCAAAATGAAAGTCTTGACCCGTCTGTTTTAACTCAGGAAAAACTCCCCCGAAGGCGGGAGCTTTGCCTGAGCATCATCAGGTCACTGCCTTACAATAAGAGCCTGAATTTTGATGCTTATCCCAACTCCATCACAATTATTGAGACAGTCAGATTCAAACCCCGTCTCTTCTTTATGCTCTCTGCTTAATCGACATAAATCTGGAAAAACACTGAAGTCCAGGCTGTGGCTAGCACTGAAGCCAGGGGCATTCATTCACTGGCATTTATGCTGCCATAGCTGAGGGCAGAGTCTGGCCCCCTCTGTTTCTCAGAAGGAACATCCTAGTTTCCATAGCCAGTCCCTGGTTATTTCGAAGTGCCACAAACAGGAAAACACGAGAACACGACAACATCAGACAGCTCAGTGACCTTTCGCAGACGCACTTCCAGGAGGAATGTTGCAGGTGTTTTTCAGGACAAAAGAAATAGCGACAACAGAAAGGTTAGGGGATCAGCTATGTAAATGGACACCAAGAAAGCATCTAATATATTATTCTGTAATACAAAAAGAAGAAATCTGACTTGATTGCCCTATTATAAATTTGCTAAAAATACAGATATATATTTATATTTTTATATATATATAATTTTTTTTTTTTTTAAATCTGAACAGAAAAATAGACTACTCTGGAATGCATGAAAGTCACATGACTTTTCCATACATCAGATACTTATAAAGCCAACACAATGGCAAACAGGAGGTACAGAAGTAACTAGAACATCTGTACTTTATTCAAGAACTATTTAAAGCCATATTCTCCCCAAGTGGGTGATCCTAAAGCAACCTAAGGTAACACTTGTTCGGTCTCATTACCGTAAGCAGAAGTGACTGACCAAACATGAAGAAGTTGGAGTTAATTTGGAGTCACCGGGGAAGCCCACCTCCCCATCTCGCTCCCGACTGAGCTGCACAGGAGGGCATCGGTGCCAATTGCTTGGCTACTTTATTCAGTAATTCTACTATTCACTTTAAAATGAGGCGTTAAAAACTGTTGGAGATCATCTTATGTGGAGCTTACCGACAGAGAGAGAGAACTTGGCTTTAGAAACCTTGTCTTTGTGATGAGTTTTAAATACCCTTGTTATTTACTATAAACTGTACCAGTCATAATTCTGTCAAGACATAAATATACAATAGGTACAAATATTAACAATACATTACAATTTTACAGAAGAGAATATGTTTTCCTTAGAAATGTGTATCTTATTAGCTGCAAGGGAAGAAAAGGCTACAGTTTATCACAGCCATAGTTGCCAAAGAAACCGACCGCCTCGGATGTGTTTCTGCGTGACTTGCACAGACAGATATTCCCCGGCATTTGACACACGGCATGTTCAGGAAGGGAATGTGCGTTCCGCGGGTTTTCTTTTCCTCCTTTATTTTTTTTTTCCTTCTTCTACCTTTATTGACTTCCAAAGCTCTTAGAAAAACATGGATTTCACAGGAGACTCTTTTGTTTTGTTTTTGTTGTTCTGTAAGTGTGCTTAGGTGAAGGTTCTAAGAAAAGGCACTGAGAAATCTACTGCAATGTGACTGCTGTTTTCCCATGTTCAAGGCTAAAACTCAAAGGATCTTTGCCTCCTGGTTAAGAAAACTGCACCCATTCCTTCTGCATATGTATATTTATATATATATTTATATATATGTATTAAAAACTATGTTGATGGCGTAAGGTACAAGCAAGCGCAGACATCACACATACATAGTCCTTTCAGATATGATGTCTTCTGCAGCAGCAGGTGAAACTCTGTCAGCTTGCTTGATACATGATGCACAGTAAATTCGCAGACCTGAATGCCAAATATCAGTGATTAAACTGCACGCTTTAGCTCGATGCAAGAGATATTGCATATTTTCCCCAACTGTTATGAGCTTTGGGAAACGTGTCAAACAAACTATAAAATGAAATCGTCTTTCTAGTGTCTATAGGATTTGGTGAGCGTTATGTTTTCAAAGCACTGCCTTTCCTTTTGTAATGAGTACAGATTTAGTCTATCATAGCTTTATGTCAGAGTAGATTTCCCAGTGCTTACATTATATATATGTGTATTATGCACACACACACATATATAGATACATACTTCATATTCAGACTTTATTTCATTAAAATAAATTAAACATACTTCCTTTTTAACTGGGCACAAAATGAGAGCTACATCTTCATACACAGATAAGAAAGAAATGCTCTTCAAGCATATTATATGCTTAATTTTAAATTATTTGCTTTCTATAAGAAATCTATAGGACTTTGGCTATTCAGACTTAAAAGGTAGATTTTTAATGATACTTTTGAATCTGGCTTTCAAAAGTGACTCAATAAAATGCTACTTTAAAGGTAGGACTAAATAGATGATATAAGGTGTGTGTCATGAGTGATCACACAAGGCAGACAGAGGGCCTTTGGTTACAAGGAGAGTTGCACCAGTTGATTATCAGTTATAAAATGATAGAATTGTTGATCTATACATTTTTGTCAGTGCCATCTATAACCAAATACACTAATTTGGATGAGAGTGTGGTAGATACTACACTATATGGCTATATTTAAATACGTTCACTTTTGTGAAATGTAAAATATGACTTTTTTTTCCCATGTGAAAGCATCAGCTCTAAAAATATTTAACTTGGAATTCACTATTACTTACTTTATCAAAAAATTTTTCCCTGATTTTTCCTCTTTTTACATTTGTGCTGATGGCAGACATGAATGATCACTGAAACATAGAGATTATGTTAAGACTGTTTTCTTTAAGATTTCTCATTGCTGCTCCATGGCCTCGGAAAGCCACAGAATAAATCAGTATTTAAAGCTTATCTGCTGGAAAGTCACTTGACTTTTTTTGTGACGACTCGATCTTAACTAATATCTCAGCAATACACAGGTTCCTCTAAGTACACTTGTATATACTATGGCCAAATCCTAAAGTCCTTCACCAGGCAAAGAGCCCACTCAGAGGAACGGTGGTGTTGGCTGAGGGAAGGCAGAGTAAAAGTTAATGAACCTCAGGAATTGGCCCTGTGTAAATACTCTGGAGAGTATCACTTGCACACATAGGTGCCTTGGACTCACTTTGAGTGCCTCCCGTGTCACTCTTGGCATGGCACGAGGTCTCTTTCTCTGCTAGCAGGCTAATTCCTGAGGTGGTGGCTCAGGTCTTACTGTGCCTTCCCCAGGGTCTCGCCTTGCTGCGACACAAGGACGACTTCTGAGCGGGTACCTCGGGCTGTGTCCCACCACCCGGGGATGGGGTCGGCTGAGCAGAGCAGAGTTAATGCCAACGTGTGTACAGTTTTGTGCCAAGGAGAGACCTAACAAAGCTATCACTGTAACCCATAATAGTTCCTAAAACATATATGTGCTTATTGCTTTTGTCCGTACATGCTGCATTCACTATTACGGATTACAGACAGAAGTACTCTACAGCTAGGACGGACAGACGTTTACATTCAGGACTAACCAACGGCTTTTGTTTTTACAATAGGTAGGAACAAAATGCTGCGGGCTCGAGCGGCTCGGGGGTCTTCCTCCCGCCTGTGCGCCTCTGCTCCCACGTCCCGTGTCTCAGCACGTCCCTGGACCTGCTGCGTGCAGATCGTTACATGCCCCGGCAGGTACTCAGAGATAGGTCAGGAAACGCTCATTGACAGAGTTATTTACAATTGAGTTTTTACAGTAGAAACAGAGAACAACATAAAGGATTACCATCACAGTTATCACAGGACAGGTTGTGACTTGCTACAGGCGTGTAACAAATCACGGTCACAACAGGAGGCACAAATTAAAGTAGTGCTTGGTTAAAGTGCTTGATTGTTACACTCTGCTATCCTACTCCAGCATCGCAACAACAACAACAGAAAGTCAACGTAAAGTGCTTTTCCCCCCCTCCCGAGATTAAAAACCAAAGACAAATTATTTCCTACACAATTTGACATAACTTTATTGAAACAATAAGATTTTAAAAACCTAGGCTGGTGGCTGCTAGTTCTGTTCATTTAAAATGGTCAGATCCCTTTTTTTTTTCTTTTTCTTTTTTTTTTTTCTTTTCTTGTTTCATTTAAAAATGACTGGATGTTATTAAAACATCAGGCCTGAGTCTCCTGTCTCTCGCAGCTGCTTCGTGCTACAGCTTCACAGGAGCCTCTCCTGCCCGACATCCTCACGAGAGAGAGCACAGCCAGGCCCGGGGCGGGTCGCTAACGAATCCCTCTATTTGCATATTTATGTTACACTTGCATATCTTTCACTGCGCCGCTCGGGCGCAAAAAGCTTCAAACCGACCGGTTCCTCTCCTACGCCAAGGGCGAGACTTTGGCTGACCTGGAGTCAGCGTGCCGGTGGGAAGGGGAGGCCTGGGAGCCACCCCGGTACCCCCGGCACGTCCCCGTGGGGCAGGGCAGCGAGCATCTCCCCACCACGGAAGGGCAAGGCGAGAGCGGAGCTCTCCTTCCAGCCCCATGCTCCCCGGCACCGGGAAGGGAGTCTGGCTGCGATGCCTCCGGAGAGTCCTGCTTCTGCATGGCTCCTTCACACCTTCCCAGCGTGGGCTGTGGGTCCCCCCGCGGGCCACGCGCTGGCCCTGGGGCAGGTATCGATCTCTAGCAGAGGGTAAGTGCAAGTTTCACTATGTTCTAGGGGATGTTTGGAATTAGGTACAAGTGGTGCAACTCACCCTGCTGATACTTCAAAAGAAAACGTCAGGTCCTACAGGATATCATATTGTTTAAACACACACAGAGCATTTTAATAATTGGTTTCTCTAGACTGTTATTTGTTTTAAGTGGTTTTCACTTAGATTTTCCAATACTGCAAGTGTTCCCTGTTACCCTTAGACATAATATCCATCAGAGAAAGATGTAGATGGGGAACAGCTGCCCTAAAGCAGTGAGCATTGTGTTTTTGATAGCTTTATACCAACCCCAGCAATTTATTCCAGAGTTCAAATCTGGCTGCCTTGGCATCCTTTATGGAACTAATGCAAATCAGATATTAATATTTCCAAAAGGAGCTCTAGTGTTCAAGGGGAATGGATGGATATTTGGTCACATTGGCTTCACTGGACAACATGAAAGGAGATCAATGTGTGATCATGATTTGCAATCCTTACTTTTGACTGATGTGGGCAACGTCTTTAGAGTTGTTTCAGAGAAGGACATTTTCACAAACCCACACTGGACCTCCCCCAGACTTTTAGAAACAGGTAGCTTGTTTCAGCCAAGTTCATGCCATGCAGAAGCTCTTTTTTTTTTGTGTTGACTTTAAAGACATTCCTTTAAACTTTCAGTTAGTTCTTTTGGAGCCCATCTCAGATGCTTTGATCATGTGTGTTAGCATGTCCTCCACTGCCTGGTAACACGTGGACTTCTGGGGAAATGTGATTTTCTAGTCTGACAGTCTCCTGATTGCCCTGGGTTCTTCCAGTGATACCTTCCATAGAGTAAATGCAGTTTTGCCCTATCAGCTTAGGGGAGGTGGGTAAAGCAGCAGCTTCTAGATGGTTCTTGTCTGTTCTATAAACATTGTCTTTTTGCTTTAGATAGCCACTGTTTGTAACATTGTACTTGGGACTCACATTTCTGGGTGGACTTGAATCATAAAGCAGCTGACCTTCATCATCAGTGTCAGCATCTATGTATTTGTGTATACCAGCATCATGGAAGTTGAAAGCTATGGCTGACTGCATCTCTGGTGACTTTGGGGGTGTTCTCGCACTCGCGGTTGTGTAGATGGAGGGTTCTGGGCTCATGAGAGACCTGTCAGAGAGTAAGGAAGTATCTGTGCCAGCAGCAGCAGCTCCCCGGCTCTTAAGGGGGTCTGAATATATTCTCAGTACATTTGATGCTGGTACTAATGTGCTGGTGTCCTCTTCCATAAAGTTGACTTTCAGAGATCTTAGTTTTAAAGGGTTACTGGCCTTTACCGAGCTTTTGGGACTCTCTATGAAAAAAGCAGAACGGTGGCTGCCTTCGGAGCTCGGGTTCATGTCCACATATCTGGCACCGCTCCCCTCTGGCCTGCTCTGCTCCTGAATCATGTTAATGCCACCTTTGCAGGGAATGGTAGCGAGCGGGCTGTGGGAAAACCTTCCGGAGTCAGGGAACTCTGCTGCACAGCTTATGAAGCTGTCGATGCTGGACATGCTCCTCATGTCAATGATCCCATCAGTGCGAGTCGTCAGCAAGGGCACCATAGGGCCAGGAAGGGTTTCCATTTCTAGCTCTTCCTTTTGCTTTCCAGGTTGACTCGAGTCCTTTGTATTAAGGTTTGGCTGGGACTGCGTCTTTGCCATTTTGTTATACATGTCCTCTAGCTGTTGGACATTCAGATGCTGGGGACTTGAAGATGACCTGGCTTTTTCTGGAGACCCTTGTTCCTTAGTTTCAAAAGATTTACTAGAGCTAGTTTCAGAGAGTGTTCTCTTGGTCCATTTCCATTTGCTGGGAGATAAATGATTGTCCTGAACTTTATCCTTTTTGGCTATGCTTTCTCCATTCTTTTCGACCACGATGTCCATGAGTTCTATACTACGGGCAAACGCATCCTTCATGTTCATGGAAACAATACTGCCGTTCCTTTTTGCTCTTTCAAGAGCTTCCCTGCGCTTAATGGCTTTCTCCTGCCTCTTCTGCTCTTTGTAGAACTCAGAGAAGTTATTGACAATAATTGGGATGGGAAGAGCGATCACCAGCACTCCAGCGATGCAACACAGTCCTCCTACTATTTTACCTAAAAGTGTTTTGGGGTAGATGTCTCCATAGCCTACTGTTGTCATGGTGATTGTTGCCCACCAGAAAGAAGCTGGGATGCTCTTGAATTTTGTATCATCCTCATCCTTTTCTGCAAAGAACACTAAGCTGGAAAAGATCATAATGCCCATGGCCAAAAACAGGATGAGTAATCCAAGCTCATTGTAACTCCTCCTCAGTGTAAACCCCAAGGACTGTAAACCTGTTGAGTGCCGAGCAAGCTTTAGAATCCGGAGTATCCTCATAATCCGAAATATTTGGACTACTCGTCGTACATTTTGGAACTGAAGTACACTTTTATTGGATTCTGTGAGGAAGATAGTGACATAGTACGGTAAGATAGCTAGCAAATCAATTGCATTCAGCGGGCCTTTGAAAAACTTCCATTTCTTAGGCGACGATAGGAACCGCAAGAGGTATTCCATTGTAAACCATGCAATGCACACTGCTTCCACGTGGGCAAGTTGGGGATTATCTGTGGTCTGCCCAAATTCATCCATGCCTTGTAGTTCAGGAAGTGTGTTAAGGGACAAGGCAATTGTAGATAGTACAATAAACATGATGGAAATGATTGCCAAAATCTGGAAAGGAAAGAGAAAACAGTGAGTTCATCTCAGAATGTATTATGCTGTCTGTCATTGCCATTAACAGATGGCTCTATTTCCACTTACACGTTTCAAGACTAGTTTTGCTCGTAGTACGCAGAAGTCAGATCACTAATGTATCCTGAGGTGATTTTGGAAAGTGCTTTAGTTGTGTCAAATACATAAAGGAGATAAAACATCTACTTCAACTCATGTGCCTTCATCTCTGTGCAGTCAAGGAAAGCATACCAAGCAGCCAGCATGCCAGGAGGGCTTGAAGCAGTTCACAGCAGGAGCTTTTGATTAGCTACTAATTAGGTGCCCAACAAAGCCCATCTGGACAACAGGCTCTGAAATCTAAGCAAGAAGGAATGCAATAGTGAATTCAAGATTTGATCAGAGCAATGTCTTCCATTTAATGCACTGGTATGCCTGTAATTTTGGGTGCCTATGGCTTATTACAGAGTTGTGTGTGCAGTTCTACCACATATAAGTGGACACTCTTTTTAAAGACTCATTTCTAACTTGAAATTTGATGGTTGTGAAATACGTGAAAACTTTACCAACCTTTCTAAATCATTTTGAGCTACTCTGCATGCGACTGACTGGCTCTCCCAGCTCCTCATTGCAATCTGAGCAAACTCATCCAGGCAAACCAAACTGCACAACGCTTGAGACAGTCAAGGCAGGGCAGGTTCAACCACTGGAGAGTTCATGCATTATCAGAAACTAGCTCTTGGGCTAAAGAGTGCAATGAGAAGAGAAGGGTCTGCTGTGAGCAGCCTCTCTAAAAACCCACATAAATCTGATCAGATCCTGGGCCACCAACTCTACACAGAGCTGTGAAACATGAAGCGCTAGACAAGTGTATATACATCTGTCCTTCCATACCTGCAGACATTAATACTGTACGTTCCAGTTTTCTCTGATTACATCTTCGTTTAAAGTCATTTTGGGGAGGCTTTAGAGCTGACAGACAATTTGAGGGTTGTCTTTTTCTACTAGTGAATTCTTTCTCTGGTTTGTGGATTGGGTGGGATTATATCTAGTTTCTTAGGTTACTGCCAAAATACAGCAAGGATTTCAAAATACACGTATATGTGACTAATGTTTTATGTATATATTTCAGTGTAAGCAGGTCCCTTATGCTCGCTTTTCGCCTGCTTGATAGAAAAGCAGCATGAAATCAATTGCAACGTATGTGCCTGATGACTAGATACACAATATTAAGCAATGAATTAAAAAACATATGACAAGAGTTCTGCATTGTGAACTGCAAATCTGTCGCACTCTTTCCTTGCCAATATAACTAGATTCTAAGTTTCGTCAAAGTGACCTTACTCAGCCAGCCTCACAATACCAGAATATCCACAGGTACCACTTGGGCACTGGAGAAACAAATTCTTGCAGGGTTTCTTTTCAGCCGAGCCCAGTACAGCAGGTATTCTAACAGCCAGGAAATATCTGAATATAAACACTACAATGGAGCAAGCCTTGCTGCAGTAGGAGAAACATCCAATACAGTTCAGAAACACTGTGGTCTTCTCAAGAAGAGCCTTGCCTTTTCTCCAAAGCTGAAAAGCAGAAATGGTCTGAAAAGGCTGGAAGCTTTACTTGAATTTAACTCATATGCCAAGCTTAAAGCTATGGCTTTAGAAGAAAAGCCCATGTATCTTAAAAAAATCCAAAGGGTTTCAATTTTGAAATTTTGATTTTAACAAGTGCTTTAAAATCCACTTGCTGTTAGGAAAATATCTTCTTCAAAGTCAATGTAATAAAATCATTTACCTTTTAACTCACTAAAACGCACTATATAACTTTGATACGTACGTGACTCTGCAGACGCAGTAATTTAATCTGAAGATTGAGATTTGACTAGAAACAAAAATTATCTCCATTAAACACTCTGGTTTCATTGTCTAAAGTGGATTAAATGGAAGAAGTGAATGGTGTAAATGGCCTGCTATGCAGTGCTCTAGTACCGGGAATTCTAGAATAGCCTCACTTTCAGTTACTAAATTGTTGCCAGGAAAGATGCTGGGAAGCTTCCTTTTCCTTTATAAACAGATTGCATAAAAGAATGTTTGTTGTTAGCTGTGGTGTGCACCCTCACAGTGCTAGGGAACCTTTCCCCTCCTTGTCACTCCCTTCTTCTCCTATGAATTCACTGCTGAAATACAAACATCCCCACAACAACTTGTGCCATGGGGCTTTTGCCTTTTTTGAGAGACTTCTCAGGTGAAAGAACCAAAGCAGCTATGGGAAAGACTTGGGGTTTGCAAAAACGTAAGAAGAACCAAGGGATGAAGAGAAGCAGAGTAGGATGCAGGGAAAAGCGCTTGAACTGACGGTTTCAGACCTGAGAGAATAAAATCTAAGTCAAGTGCGTTATGGTGAAATGGGGACAAATTTAGATAACTACTTCTGCATTGATGTTTGTTTCAACAGACCATCTCCCAGAGATCAGGTAATGCCCCTCAGAAGCTGGGAACCTTGGTTTCCTTTCCTAGAAGGCTCTTTCAGTGTTTTTGCTGTCATTTCTTTGTTTACCACCCAACATTTCTGAAGGTGTTTGGGATGTTTTCAATGGTAATTTCAAATTTTTTGCTTGGCTTTATCTCTGCCCACTATATGCAGAAGGGCTTATCTGTAGACTTAGATGTACCTCTTGTGTTTTATCTTCTTCACTTTCAGTGTAAATATTAAACACTCCATCTTTATTCAGTAGATGGCATCCAGCCGCAGTAATTGGTGTCAAACCTTCTGTTTCCTTTGATACAGCTTCCTGCTTTGAAGATCAAGGCAATGCCGGATGAACATAAATTTGAAAACTAGGAGATCTGAGGGTAAAATCTGGTTTTGGTTTAGCAGATTTAGCCACGGAGCTGAGCAATAAACAGAAAGAGACATTCATCATTTCTCCTGCAAGTTGCAGCAAGGTGTCACTTCTGCTTCTAAGATACAGATTTTCCCCCTTATTGGTCTACTGCAATCATACATCTTCAGGAATCTTGTCAGGCTAAGAAAAACTTCTAAGCGTGACTTGACCGTCCTCAGGTATTGAAAGCAATTTTAAGTTGGAAAATACAAAAACCTGGGAGATGCCGTATCTCCAGCAGGGTTTATAGGATCCTTTTTCTCTAAAGGAGATGCTACCTTGTCCTGGTAGCATCCACCATCCAGCAAAAAGCACCCAAGGAGCCGTTGTCCACAGAAAACTAGATCTAGTTGCTGCTGTCAGGCATTAGCACTGCATTCAGTGGCACAGTGCTCTATCCCAGTGCATTTACTGTCTGGGACTTCAGATTATAGAAATCACTACCTGTCTGTTTAATAAGGTTTCTTATCTTGGCCATACTGAAACTCTAGCTTGGCAGCTTTTGCATTTGCCACTGTCAGTAATGAGACAGAAAGATGAAGGAAAGACATTTATACCATCAAGAATGCCTCTAGAGATGCTCTGTGTGGCAGGCAGCCTTTTCATTTGATTCCTGGCCTTTCCTCCTTGCCTTCCTCTTCCAGGTTTACTTCTGTTTAACAAGAAAAGCCAATGGGACAAATGTGGACTTGAGCAGGAGCAATCTCTCTACAGTGAATGAGTGAGGCTCCAACTGTTAAGGTAAGCAGACTCTGGAAAAAAGTGCCTGTTGTCCCTGCTCCAGAGCACTGACCTAAAACCTGGCTGCAGCAGCAGCTGCTAACTACTGCTTCAAATGGAAACAAGGGCGGGGAGAGGATGCCCCATGTCTGCAGCAGGTCCTACAAAACACATAGCTGAAACAATGGGAAAGCTTGCAGTCTAAAATTTGGAGGCACAACAGGCTGGAATGACTAGCCTGAGGAGGGGCTACATCAGCAATTGAGGCAGGTGGGGGAATCCATGTACTTCTGGTGCCACATCCATGAGGGCTGTTCTCCACTGTCTGTGCATGGGCTTCATTGGAACCAACGACAGGAGCTCCGAGAGAACAAGTCCTACTGCGCACATATCCGCAACAAAGCACCACAGATATCCTTCAGCCGCTGATAAAGCTGATAGGCTTTAAGACTAGTTGCACAACTTTCAGACCATTTCTGCCAGCAAAATGCATGGGGCAAGCTGTGTAGTTCCCTTCCTCTTTGCTCCTGTATTTACTCTTACATTTGACCTGGAGCAACACACCATAAACTGTGAAATTCCCCATCAGGTGCTTATCTCGGTGACTTGCAGCAGGTGTTGGATGGTCTCCTAATGGCAGCACTGGCTTGTAGTGCAAGTCTCAGTGTGTATGGGCAGAATTCCAGAGAAAGATTTCTCCTTTACTAAACTGACTGTTTCACAAAGATTTTTGTGGAGTTGAATCTCTGGATTGCTGCTGAGGATCTTTTGTGAAAGCTAAATAAGCCAAGGACAGGCGGGGCAAGGTTCTGAATGAATTTAAAGCAATTGCCTTGAAGTGATTAGCATGATTGTACACACATGATGGTTATTACACATGCAAATGAGACAAGCAAGCTGATTATGTGCGTAAGTGCGGCTAGTCCGTGTGCAACTGCTGCTTTCTGAGGCAGGGTGGATGTGCCATGCTTGAAGCCATTAATCCCCACCCCCTCCAAAATACCCCCCAGAATGAGGCAGGCAGCCTCTAATGTACACCTTCAGGAGATATCCACTTGCACCAGGCCTGATCCTGCTTGCTGTGTGATGCCCAAGGGATTCATCCTTTGTCTTGGATGTCTGAGCTCATCCCTGGGGGGAACAGGGCTCCCATAAAGAAGCCAGTCTGTTCAGAATTTTCCCATCAGTCTGTTGAACTTCTGATAGCATCAGCTTGTGGGCAGCAAAACGGTGTATGCCACCCCCCAGACAGCACAGAGCAGGGTAAGTTTTAGGCAGCAGGAGCTAACATTTAGGTTTGGTGATATTTATTGCTTGATTGTCTGATCTTTGCACTGCTAAAGACCTTAACTAAGGTCAAGGCATAAGACCAGAGACTTTCAAGGCCATTAAAATTAAT